TGTTGCTAAGTTCAGAGAGGAGAGTGAGAGTCTGTAAAGAGGTGAGAGTTCGGTGAGGTTTAAGGGAGAAAGAGAGAAAGTGAAGGGGAGAAAGAGATCAAAAGAATGTTATAAAAAGAAAAAAGAAAATCTGAAAAGGTGGGGAGGGTATCCGGATAGGGTAAGGCTAAGGGGACAAGAATCCAAAGTGGGTCCCCTTGGTTCGCAATTTAAGAATGTATAAAACAAAACACAAATATCCGAAAACATTCAACGGTTCGAACGTAGAACCTTTGTTATACATCCTATTTTGAATCCGTTTGCGCCTACACTTTCATTTCGATGAGTATGATATGAACAAATTAATTAACTTAAGACTACGCATTTTGACGATATGGTCAACGAAAGTCAACTCAAGGGTAATTTGGTAATTTCATAAGTCCAACAATATGAAAATACAACAAGTTAAGGACTGGGTTTCATATTGAGTGGCAATGGGCCTTAAGGTGGACCAACATAGCTACGTACAAGATTGCATAACCCTAGGTAGAAACGAAAAAATTGGTGCATTCACCAAGGTTTGGGCGATCATTTAAATTGCGCTTTATGATCACTATGCGAGGCTATTTGGGGTTAACATGTGAATTTGATGTTCGATTATAAACCCAAAAGACATGTAATACTTTATCGAAAACCGTCGATATAAACTCTCCAGCATTATCCAATTTCCCAAACTTTAAGGGATAAGTAGGGTGGTGAACCCTTAAAATTGGCCAGGAGGTTTAGCAGCAACGTGTGTGTACAAACATGTGACTAGTTTGTTGATTCATCAACCAAAACCATAATTATTTATATGGTCCGCATTTTGGTTGGATTAGTCCACATATATTCCATTGAATCCACTGTGAAAAGTGAGTCATTCCGTATCTTTGCGAGGAATGATATAAAAATCAAATTTCTCAAATGAGCAGGTTTGGGCCAAGGGCGCGAGGACAGGGCCCAGCATACGGCTGTAGGCCGTGCTGGAGGTGGGTTGGGCTATAGGCTTAACTGAAAACTTGCCCAAGCTAGAAGCCTAGTTAGTCTCTCGCATGCAGCAAGCCAAAAAGGCTGCTGCCTTGGTTCGGACGTTAAACGACATCGTCTTGGTGGTTGCTCAACACGGCTAGGCTTCAGGCCAGCCAATGTGTTTTGGCTTGGCTTAAGGTCGCGGCTCATGTCATAGGAAAAAAAAAAAAAAAGATATCTCAATTTTTAACTTCTTTTTTTTCGACACTAGGGTTTGAAAAACCCTAATTGCTTCTAATTTATTTCGATGCTTTGACTCACAAATTCCACATAGTAAAAAATGCGTAATGCATGAAACATATATATTGACAAATATATGAAACATATACAATATATATCGGAATGTATTATAAATGTAGGGAGTTCATGCATCATAGAGAATGTTTTCATACTTCATGGCTGTTTCAAATATCTTCCTTTATTTTAAGCCTACCTGATTGGTGGAAAACAATAAAAGCCTTTGAATTTGTAGAAGATCATTCTCGGAAAGCCGAAATTGCATCTCCAATGCGTTATATCACGTTCAACACAGAAAAATTAAATTGAACCAATAACATGTAGATCAATTCAATAAAATAATAAATTAAACATAAAAAGAATGATTAAAACGTAATACTCCTATGATTGAAGAATAAACTTTCTTTAGCGCAGCTTCAAGAGCGTGCTGATAACGTGTTGTAGGCATAGTTTACTAAACAATTATGGAGGCCATAGAGAGAGGGGGTGCGACACATGGAGAGAAGAGAGAGATATGTAATTATGAGGTGTGTTCTATTCCATCCCATTGTGCCTTTATTTATAGTAGTAAGGAAGATTAATTCCTTACCCTTTTAGGATTACAACTCTAATAGGATAATATTTAGTCTAAGAGATATGGTAGAATTCCATAAGGATATCCTAGATATGTTAAGATTTACATAATCACATTCCTAATCTAATAGGACTGCAACATAATTTAGATTGTTGTTCACTTGATACTTATACTTTCAATTATGATGCTTTATTTGACCCTCAAATAAAACTTAAAGGCTCATTTTAATTATGTACTTGAATATTCGAAAACATTCAAAAAAAAAACTTTTAAGATATATGACTGTTTAAATTATGTTTTGAAATTTTTTTTAAGGGTACTATGATTTTGAAACTTCTAAATAACTCAAAAGTTTCAAGTTTGAAAACTTTTTCTAATCCAAACTTTTTGGAATGAAAATTGAAAACTTTGTTCTTGGTCCGATCTATTTGAAAATCATCTCTAGTGTTTATCATTAGTATTTTTTTTTTAACAAGTAATATTATCTACACTAAGAGGATGAGAAAGTGGGCTAAGTCTCACAATGGGTGAGCCATGAGTTTGTCATTTTGTTTCAAATTCACTTTAGGTTTGCAATCTTGGTCATGTTGTCACTATATTCAAATTGGAAAATAATCATTAATTCATATAAAAGTACAAAAATATTCATTTTAAAATACAAAAATTATTATAAAAAGAATTAAAATTCAAAAGTAATAATTATAAGTAGGCATTTTAGGCTTGAAGTGATTTCAAAATGGGCCACAAAGTTTTAATTTTCTCATCCTGCAGCTCAAGATATTGAAATTATACCAATTTGTGCACTTTGTCTAATTGATTGTATGATAATTCATTAAATTGATGATGAGGTGAGCTTGAAGCTCCTATATGGACTAATTGTAAAGGACCAAGATTGTCTGCCCTCCTACTTTCCATCCCCTTCCATCCCCTCGTACTTTTCTAACTATTGATTTCATGTTAAGTTAATTTAATGTTCCAGATTTTGCCACCTCAGCAACTCCTCTAAAGCATCTTTAAAGCCCAATTTTTCAGACATTTTCTACTGCCTTTCCTGCCTCTCTCTCTCTTTCTCTCTCTCTCTTTCTCTCTGAGACCCATAAACCAAAACAATGTATGAACTTTGAATCCCCAGAAATCCACATCCCCACCCAATTCACCAAAAACAAGATCGGGGTTTCCACCAAAATGCATTCCTCGAGCCAAAGGCTTTCCTTTTCCCTCTTCTCCTTGCTGGTTTTGCTCCATCTTGCAAAACCAGATCTGGCTTCTTACATCGCCGCTCTGCTAGCCCTACGCTCCTCCGTCGGCGGTCGAACTCTGCTTTGGAGTAGAAAAAGTCGAGAAAATTGGGCTTTAAAGATGCTTTGGAGGAGTTGGTGAGTGGCAAAATCTAGAGCATTAAATTAACTTAACATGAAATCAATGGTTAAAAAAGTAGGAGGGGATGGAAGGGGATGGAAAGTAGGAGGGCAAACAATCTAGGTCCAATTGTAAAAGCACATTTTTATCATATTGACAGAAAACTCATTAATTTAATGGATGATTAGACATCCAAAAAGACAAATCGTTGCATTGACACAATTTTAAATTCTCAGAGTGTAATGTATGAAAATTAAAAGGGTAATGCTAGAGGGATTAAATTTATAAACCAAATTTGTAAACGAAATGATGTGCCACCAATAAGAAACAAGCACGTTAATCGATACTTAATTAGTAATCCAATCATCTACAACTACATCATTTAGTTTGCAAATTTGATTTAAAAAATTTGATCTCTTTATCCAAATTAAAAACTCATGACCCATTTTGAAAGCACCTCAAACAAATAATTATTATAATTTTCTTGACATCGACAAATGTAAATGTAAGGGAGGAATAAAGAGATTCAAATTTTGTTCTCGAAAACATTTAAATAAGGTTTGGTTAAGAAATAAACACGTTAATTAATATTTAAATAATAATTCAATCATCAATTTTCATGTCATTTAATTTACAAATTTAGTCTCCATGACATTACTCTTACTTTTTATTTTTCTCTTTGAATAGAAAGATATATTTACACTATTTAGCAATAAGAATTTAATTTGAATTCGTTTTCGATAAGAGTTGAACCTAAAACTTCATATTTTTTCATTTTTGAGGAACTTATACTTCGCACTTACAAATGAATAAAAATTGGTAGGCTAAAATTTGTAAACTATATTTGCAGACTAAATTTTGTAAACTAAATGACATAGAAGTTGACGACTGGATTATTACTTAAGTGTTAATTAACGTTCTTATTTTTTGGTACCGACACATTGTATGGTTTATAAATTTAGCCTACCTAGCATTACACAACGTTATTTATTATGAAGGTTAAAAGATACGAATCATCCATGTTAATTATTAATTAAAAAGTTGTTTGAAGAATGATCAGGCATTCTCTTTTTCTTTGGCATTAGGATTATCATAAGGAGATATTTTTTAGTGTGAGTGGCACACAAGATGGTACACCACATGTTATTATACAAATGGTAGGATATGTATGATAAAAAGTTAATAACTTAAAAAACAAAATTTTCCACCACTTACATCAAAACACGTGGTGTACCACCTGTGTTCCTGTCATAATAAAAAATTTCTCTAAAATAAGAGGAGCAAGTAGAGAAATCTACCAAGACCACAAATTCGGATCCTTGAAATTTAATTCAACGGCTAAAGTTATTATAACTTTTAAAGTAGGTCCCTATTTATATCCGTTAGATCAAATTTTAAGAGCCCGAATATGTAGGTTAGATCAAATTTTGAGGATTCGAATATCTGGGGTTAATGTATTTGGTGGAAGGGATTCGGGTAAGGATGCCTTTCCCAAGTAGAGCGTGGAATGCATCATTTGGGTGCTGTTGCCTTCATTTCTCCTACATCTCTGGTCTTCTCTGCAAATAGCAATCTATCTCTCTCCCCTTTGCTGATTGCTTCTTCACAAACAGCAAACAAAACAAAGATGGTAGAAGCAGTTCCATTTGGCATCGCCACCCACTTACTGGTGAAGCTTGGTTCTTCCACTTTCCAAGAACTTGGCCTCATCTACGGCGTCGACAAGGAGCTGACCAAGCTCGAAAGCACACTTTCCACCATCAGAGCTGTTCTTTCCGACGCCGAGGAGAAACAAGAGACGAGCCATTTGGTGCAAGAATGGATGAGGAAGCTCAAAGATGTTGTGTACCGTGCTGATAACGTGTTCGATGTTTTCGAAACCAAAGCTAATGACGGCAAAGATCAGCTGCTGCTGCTGCAGGTACGCGGGTTTTTTTCACCTTCAAACCATCTCGCTTTTCGTCACAAGATGGGGCGCGAGATCAAAGAGATTAGAGAGAGTCTAGATGAGATTGCTGCTGATATTTCCAAATTCAACTTCAGGGCGGGATCGGTGACAGTTTATGCAGATATTGGGCTCCAAAATGGTTACGAGAAGGAAGAGACACACTCTTTTGTGTTGCCTTCAACTGTAATTGGAAGAGACAAAGATAAAGAGGAGATGGTGAGATCTTTGATGTGGGAATGCGACCGAGAGAATGTGTCTATCGCGGCCATTGTTGGTATTGGGGGACTGGGGAAGACTACTCTTGCGAAAATGTTGTACAATGACGAGAGGGTAGTGAGCTATTTTCAGCTTAAGATGTGGGTGTGGGCTTATGGAAACTTCGATGTGCGATCAATTGCTTCAAAGATTTTGAGTACTGGCACTGCAGATGAATTACAAGAGTCGGAATTTTCTCATCTGCGAAATGGTCCGCAGAAAAAAATGCTTATGGAATTGAAGGAATTGCAGATTCTGCTTCGAAAGAAATTGGATGGGAAACTCTACCTACTTGTTCTTGACGATGTATGGAATGAAAATCGTAATAGTTGGCTTCAGCTGAATGATTTGTTAAGTGGTGGTGCCAAGGGAAGCAAGATTGTGGTAACAACTCGTAGCACCAAGGTTACCTCGGTTATGGATATAGATTCACCTTATGTGCTGCAAGGTCTACGAGAGGAAGAGTGTTGGACATTGTTCAAGAAAACGGCATTCAGAAAAGGAAGGGAGGAGGAGAACCCAATGTTGGTGCCAATTGGAAGAAGAATTGCAGACAAGTGCCAAGGCGTTCCTCTTGCAATAAGGACTCTCGGAAGCTTGATGAGATACAAAACTAGCGAAAGCGAGTGGCTGGCAATTCAAAATAAAGAAATTTGGGAGTTTCCGAAGGAGGAGAACGACATTTTAGCAATACTGAAGCTAAGCTATGACCACATGCCAGTTTATTTGAAACAATGCTTCTCCTACTGTGCCTTGTTCCCCAAGGGATATGAAATCGATAAAAAGTTGTTGATCCAGCTGTGGATAGCTCAAGGTTACATTCACCCACCAAGTAAAGACAGCAACTTAGAAGATATCGGTGATACATATTTCAAAGAATTGTTATGGAGGTCATTGCTTCAAGAGGTTAAGAAAGACGTTGATGGAAATGTAATTAGTTGCAATATGCATGACCTTATAAAGGATCTTGCACGAGCAGTTGCAGGATCCGAATGCTCAATTTGCAATGTTGATTCAGGAAACGTATCTGAAAGAGTTCATCATGTTTCATTTAGTCAATATCTGCCTTCCTCATGGGAAGTTCCAACAACATTGCTCAAAGCAAGGAAGGTAAGGACATTTGTTTTACCACTTCAGTATCAAACACATAAGATCTCCACCAGCCACAGTACAATCATTTCAAGTTTGAGGTGTCTGCGCGCATTGGATCTACATAACCTAAGAACTAAGGAGCTTCCGGATGTCATAGGCAAGTTGACTCATCTTAGGTATCTTGATCTCTCTGGTAATGTTTGTCTGGTGGTACTGCCTGGTTCGATATGCAATCTGCAGAATCTGCAGACACTTAAACTCAATCGGTGCTACAGGCTTAAGCACCTCCCTAGAAATCTTGGGAAGATGATCAGCCTCAGACATCTGGAGATCAATGGTTGCTGCAACTTGACCCACATGCCGCCTGGGCTGGGAAAATTGATCTCTCTTCAGACATTACCAATATTCGTCTTGTGCAAGAAGTCTCTTTCTTCTAGTGGACTAGACGAGTTGAGTGGCCTGAACTGTCTCAGAGGGATGGTTCATATTGTTCATTTAGAACATGTCAAAAACGTTACAAGAGGGTCGAACAGATCAATCTTGAGCCAAAAGCAATGTCTTCAGTCGTTAAAGTTATCCTGGTGCAGAGAGGAGGACAACGGTTGTAATGGAGATGACATATTGTTGGAAGGCCTACGACCCCATCAGAATTTGAAGGCACTGCACATAGCTGGGTATTGCAGCATTCAATTCCCTAACTGGTTGATGCCCAACACTGCATTGTCTTTGCCAAGTCTAGTTGAAATCACTATTGAGGGTTGGAGCAGATGCCAACATCTTCCGCCATTCGACCAACTGCCTTCTCTGAAATTTCTCAAAATCTACTCTTTAAGTAGTGTTGAGTACATCAACAATGGCGCCAACTGTTCTTCCACTACTCGTTTGGTTGATGGGAAAAGAGAAGCATTGTTTTTTCCCTCCTTGAAAGAGCTCGTACTTTATGACTTGCCACTCTTGAAGGAATGGCAAGCACAGATAGTAAAAACAGACACCATGGGAACAGGAAGTACGCCAAAACATCAGTCGCTATCATTTCCTTCCCTCACCAAATTAACTATTATGGACACCCCCAGTTTGCTGTCCATGCCAATGCTTCCACAAGTTGAAGAACTGATTATGGTCAATGTCACTGAGAAGCTGCTCAAGTCAATGGTGACAGTAGTAAAAGCAGCTCTGGAAAGCCCAACAGCCTCTTCCTCATCCTCCTCCACCTCCCCCTCCTCCCTTGCTATGTTGAAGTTTCTGAGAATCCAGTCCTGCAACGATCTCATGTCTTTGCCTGATAACGGGATGCATAACCTCACTTCTCTTGAGCTCCTAGAGATTGTAGATTGTGAAAATTTGAAATCTCTCCCTAAAGAAATGCATTGCAAGTGCACTTGGTCAGGATTTAAGAATGCAGAACTTTGCATCGTCTAGTGACAAAATGCTAAGGCATCAGCTTCAGAGACGGTTGGGGAGGTTTATACAACATTGTTTTTTGAATACATTGCTGAGTGATTCATCATAAATATTTTATACGTCTAATACTTGTCCTGTAGTTATACATAGAAGTATGGAATTGTTCGAAAGATCCAATGTTATATATAACACATATGTGATCACCGCAATGACAGGAACGGAAATGCAACTTGTACTGAAAGCCACAAAAATTAATTTCAAAGATCGAAGCTGAAGAATTATACACATTACCTACTTTATTTTCCTCAGTTCTTGAAAAATAACATGAAAAAAAAGAACTACATAATTCTCCTTTATTTTGGTTTCTAAGATAAAGGACTTGAATGAATACTGATAAACTGCATTTATTTACAATCGCAGAGTCAACGGTTATGTAGATCTTTCTGAGACAGCAACTTGAGCTGCTGCTAGCCTAGCAATAGGTACCCTGTCAAAGAATTTGGATCAGTAATTGATCTGGTTATAGACATGGTCTATGCAACTTAAGTAGACGGGCGAAAGAAAAAGAAAACCTGAATGGAGAACATGAAACATAGTCTAGTCCGGCCTCTGCGAAAAATGCAACAGAAGAAGGCTCTCCACCATGCTCTCCGCATATTCCAACCTGTTTGTTTATAATCACGTGGGAAATTATCAGAAGAAGAGAAAAATGGAAGAAGAAAAATCTTGTTACCATATGACGCATCATTCATATCAAGTTGACACCCCAATTTCTTATACAATGCTTGTGCATTGCTGGTTACCTTTAAGCTAGGCCTAGCTGCACGACCCTTTTCTGTTGCCATCTTGACGAGCTGCCCAACACCTTGTTGATCAAGTACCTGCAGAAAGCCTTGTGAGACGATTCTGGTAATATCGAAGAAAACCTATTCGTGATGAAGCCTGCATGGACTTGCATAATATGCGACTAACCTGGAAGGGATCGTTTTGAAGAAGGCCTTTGGAGAGGTAAATAGGTAGAAACTTGCCCACATCATCCCTACTGTACCCGAATGTCATTTGTGTGAGATCATTGGTCCCGAAGGAGAAGAACTCAGCTTCCTTTGCAATCTATCATCGTAGATCAAAGAAAAAAAAGATATTATTCAGCAGAATATGAATAATTCTTCAATCTACATTGAAATAACAAAGTCAGCCTATCAATTTACTCTTACCTCATCTGCAACCAGAGCAGCTCGAGGGATCTCGATCATAGTTCCGACCTTATAGCTCACGGTGGTACCCATCTCAGAGAACACATTAACCGCGACACTGCGAATGAGCTTCACTTGATGTCCCAGTTCCTGAAGGCAAAAATTTCATTTAGGATGAAATCTCTATCACTTTGCATTTCTCACAAGTCCATACGAATGAATTATGAAGTCAGTATGTTTACCAAAAAAATGAAAAATTATGAATCCAATATTGTAAATAAATAATGAGAAATGAGAAAGTGAAGAAAAAGAATGCAGGATCATGCCTGAGGTATTCCGACAAGGGGAACCATTATCTCAGGGAAAACTTTGACACCCTGGTTGCTCACTGAGACTGCAGCTTGAAAGATTGCGCGTGCCTGCATTTCGGTGAGCTCTGGGTAGGATATCCCTAGCCTGTTGACACATTAGAGGTTCTTCATTTAAATTTTATCAACTCATTTATGCATAGAAGCATTCGTGCAGCAAAAACATGTGACGCTGAGATATGAAACTTTCGTCATAGTTGCAAATAACATAGATCCAACGTGATAGGCAACCAAGTTTATGATGCATATGAACTATGAAGTTGCTAAACCAAGTGAATGAAGTTCATCAGTTAGAGAACGTTTTCTGGAACAATTAAAATTGGAGTGACTATTTAGATTGGAGAGCCCATGTGAAGAATGAAGAGCCACGAAACCTGCAGCCGCGGAAACCAAGCATGGGGTTCACTTCTGATAATTTTTCAACTCTGGAGAAAACTTCATCCTCAGTCATGCCAGTCTGTGCAGTTAGTTGGCCGACAATCTGCTCCAAGTTACCTTCTGGAAGAAATTCATGAAGTGGAGGGTCTAACAGGCGGATTGTTACTGGAAGACCTGAAATTTCATAAATTTATGTGATAAATAAGCTAATAAAACTACAAGGTTAAAGCAAAATATTGATAAAATCTTAAATACATATCCTACGGTCCTAACAATCACAGGGATTTTTGTCAATGAGGTAAACATACTAACAAATTTCAAATTTATAAATCAAATTTGTGAAAAATACCATCCATTGCACGGAAAATTCCTTCAAAGTCAGATCTCTGATATGGTAGTAAGAGGTCCATTGCCACCTTCCTCTGTTCAGGTGTAGCCGCCATGATCATTTTTCTTACTGCCTTTATTCTATCATCCGAAGCAAAGAACTGAAACATAAAAAACATGTGAAATATCAAAAGAGATCTACAACCTGACATTATTTGTTAACAGCCAAACATTTTAGCAACGACAAATAATTACCATGTGTTCTGTCCTGCAAAGTCCAATCCCTTGTGCACCGTTATTTCTTGCTGTTATCGCATCTTCAGGCGTGTCAGCATTTGCCATCACCTGTTGCAACATTACCATGAACATTATTAGAGAAATCGGTACTTGTACCAGTGAAAAGGAAAAAAGGGAAGGAAATAAGTCACCTTGAGACGCCTGACTTTATCAGCCCAAGACATAAAGGTTTCCAAATCGCCACTCAAAGCCGGAGGAGAAAGTGGCTGTTTTCCCAATATGACTTCACCAGTCGATCCATTGAGTGAAAGCCATTCTCCTTCATTGACCACCGTTTTCCCGATCAAAACCAGCTGTATAATCAATGAATAACCCTCATTTAATACCATTCTCTTGATACTTCACAGAAAAAATATATTGTTTACAAAGGAAAGCTGTTACAACCACCTTCTCTTTGTCATTTACTCGGATGTCAGCGCAGCCAGAAACACAACATTTACCCCACCCACGGGCTACAACAGCTGCATGAGATGTCATGCCACCTCTAGCTGTCAAGATTCCAGCAGCGGCATGCATACCCCCAACATCTTCGGGGCTAGTTTCAGTCCTTACCTGTAATAGTGCACAACAACGATTTTCAATGATGAAATAGGGCCATGGCTCAACATATTCCGGAAGATAAATATGATTATTTAGCTTACCAGGATAACTTTCTTTCCTTGTGCATGCCATGATTCAGCATCTTCTGCATTGAACACGACTTGTCCTACTGCTGCTCCTGGAGATGCAGGTAACCCAGTGGCGAGCACTTTGTCTTTGTAAGCGGTTGGATTCTCAAACTAATCAGACAAAATTATACATAAGGAAGTTATAAATTCATCGGTACATTACACAAATTGGCCTATTGATATGTAAACTTAGAAATGAGTATAAATACCTGTGGATGAAGAAGTTGGTCAAGGTGCTGTGGTTCCACCATCTTGATTGCAGCATGCTTATTCACAAGCCCTTCGTTAGCCATGTCTACGGCTATCTTAACTGCTCCTTTACCAGTACGCTTTCCAACACGGCATTGCAACATCCACAACCTATTTTCTTGTACTGTGAACTCAATGTCCTGCAATTGTTCCCCATGCTTAAAAAAAACTGTATGTTCCGATAAACAAAAAAAGATGTGAATGTAATACTGATAGGAATATATCATATATGGAAATGATAACTCTTACCATCATATCTTTGTAATGTTTTTCTAGAATTTCACAGTTCTCCACAAGCTCCTTGTAAGCTTCGGGCATGCAATTTTTCATAGCATCCACATCTTCTGGCGTCCTGATCCCGGCAACTACATCTTCGCCCTATTCATTCCAATTTTTGAGCTACTTATAAAACCCTAACAAAAAACAGTATACTACTATCGACTTAGAAAAAGAAGTTTGGTATATATAGCGGTATCAAAAACCTGAGCATTGACTAGAAACTCGCCATAAAGCTTCCTTTCACCCGTGCTTGGATTTCTAGTGAACAGAACACCTGTCCCTGAAGTACTTCCCATGTTCCCGAAAACCATGCACTGAATGTTAACTGCGGTTCCCTTCAAACCTGTTATCTGATTGATGCTCCGGTATTTAATGGCCCTTGAGCTGTCCCAAGAATCAAAAACTGCTTTAACAGCCAAGAGAAGCTGTTGTTTTGGATCTGCAAATATACATGGGAACAAGGACATGTAAACGCACAGAGTTGTGCCACGAAAAAGTGGAAAATATGAAGTTGTTGTCGTTTTACTTTGTACCTGAAGGGAACTTTTCACCAGTCGTTTCAAGATAGACATTTTTGTATTGGTCTACCAGCTCTTTAAGATCAGAAGCTGTTAGCTTTGTATCAAGCTCAACTCCTTTTTTACATTTTAGTTTTTCCAATTTCTCCTCGAACGATGAGTGTGGAATCCCCATAACCTTCAAACATAAAATGGATGAATTCATAATACATCTTGACAAAAAATATCATCAATTTTCACATATGAACATTGCTAGATGTATCAATTAAGACTTACAACATCTCCAAACATGTCTAGGAAACGTCTATACGAGTCATAAGCAAAGCGCTCTCCACTTTTTGAGGCCAAACCAGCAACCACCTTGTCATTGAGTCCAAGGTTGAGGACAGTGTCCATCATGCCAGGCATGGAAATCTAGGTGCAAAGAGCGAAAATCAGTTGGTGCACGACATAAACTAATTCTTATTAAACAGACTGTTGTCCTTTTACCATTGCTAAGATAAATACAGAAGCCATAAACGCTGTAAATTCGAAGAATTGAAAAACTCTTACAGCGGCACCAGAGCGAACAGAGACAAGAAGAGGCTTGGAAGAATCACCAAGAATAGCACCAATATCCTTCTGCACAATCTCCAAGCCCTCTAATATCTCCTCCCACAAACCTTGTGGTAAGTCTTTGCCATTGAGTTGATACTCTTGGCATGCTTCTGTTGATATAGTAAGTCCAGGCGGGACGGATAGGCCAATGCTAGCCATTTCTGCCAGGTTTGCACCTTTCCCTCCCAACTACAATGCAAAGGCATGATGAACAAAATTCAGATTCTATGACTAAATCGAACATGTAAATCAATGGACAAGTACAAACTGAACAATTATGTTATGTAGCATAAACATATGTTCGATTGAGTTAAATGTAAAACTCCTCGTGCAAAACCGGGCTGTACAAATGCTAGCATTTCACTTTCTCGCACTGGTAGCATGTCAAAAGTGAAGTAAAACTTACCAATGACTTCATGCCCTTGTTGCCTTCACTGTTTCCTTTTCCGAAAGTAAATACTCGCTGTGGACACAAAAGAGAAGCCTTTTAGTAACTACAGGCATCTTGAACAAAATGCTTATACAAAGTTCATAACCAGTCAAAATGATCATGATAATTAGTAATGAAACCGCTCAATATAAGTTCAATTTGCAACTTTTTTCATGTTTCCAATGTGAAACTTTACAACGGATGTAGAGGTCCAAGATGTCCAAAGGATTAGAATAATCCGAGGCGGGCTTTTTATCTTTTCAACAGAGGATACAATATGAGTACCTTTTTGATTGTTGCTGCATTTTGATCTGCAACTGGGGACAGAACGGATTTTGCTTGGCTTTGTCCAGGCTCATGCTTCTTCAGGTTTGGGTTCGTGGTCCCGTTTACTTTCACAGTGGACGGCATTTTTTCTACTCTCCCTGCTTGAGAAACCCAAGTAAATATTATCAATGTACACAAATCATACAACAATGTTTAATTGATGAGTAATACACTTCTAAGCAGTATAAAATAATTTTAACTGAAATCATAAAAATTGGATTTGAAAATGGAATTGTTATAAGCACTGCAAAATAGTCATCGTGCACTCATGCAGCCTTGATATTTTTCGTTAGGGAGGAATGCATGATTGATTATTTTGGAGGGCCGATAATAGCTCCGCATAGAGAATTATTGTAAAATCTTAATAGAAATCATACTAATTAGATTAAAAAGGAGAATTGTTATAAACACTCCACGGTATTCGTCCTGCACTCCTCCACCCTAGTTAAAAGTCATTATGGACGAGTGCATGATTGACTATTTTAAAGTGCCAATAACAACTCATGTACATACTTGCTGAATATTGAACTGAGCAGAAGAAGAGTCAGAACGGCTGCAAAAGTTGCTAAGTGATCTTGAATCCAACTCTTTGCTTTGTTTGTAAGTGTAATGGTGTGATGAATTGTAGCGCTAACTCCTCCTTTTAAAGGCACAGCCACCTGGCGGAGATGATGACATGTAAGAAGTTAAATATTATTTTTTTACCACTCCGTTTAAGTAATATTAAGAGCTTTTTTAGTTGGTGATGAGTTGAAAACGGAGATCTAGATCCGGGCATAGTCAAGTTGACTAAATCAGTTATTGTTTGGATAACTCTTTGATAAATATTAATACCTTTATAAATAAATAAATAAAAGTTATTATTACCGTGGACGGTGTCTGATGATGACTTGGCAAACTCTCAAGTCCAAAGTTGCGCACACCAAACCTAATCAATGAGTGAGGATTCAGAGGATCTTTAAATCACATCTGTTTATGGTACATCATGCGATAAAAAATCATTGTAAATTTTTTTATTTAAAATTGAATTTAAACAGTACCTGACGAAAACTGACTGTACCATCTACGATGAACGGATGTAATTAGAGGATCTCCGGGATCCTCAAAAAGAGAACCCTAATGATCAATAACCATGTCATTTTAGAAATAATTGTTTTTCTTGTTTATTTATTTACTTTCTAAATTACCCAAAACCCAAAACCCTACCTATTTATCTTTTTTACAAAAAAGGAAACTACGAATTTAATACTAATTTAGATTCCCCTTATTTTGATGCTTAAAATTTTGATTTTGCCGCAAAATATCTTATTGGTTCGACTTTTGTATTGTTATTAAAGTTGGAAGATGTTCTATGTTCGAATCACCTTTTGAACATTAAATGTCTTTCCTATTAATGTGAGATTCAATCTCAACACCTTATTGGATTATAGTTTTGCATCGACTCTCTGAAGAGGAAGCTTGTTAGCGAGCCATTGCTAATAAACTCACACTACTAGAAATCATGGCAAAACACCGCCAGAAATGCCATTTAGTCACGTTTTAAATAAATGTGCGCAAAGTGGTTTAGGCTCCAAATGGACACACTGACTATCTTCACTTCAACTGAAGAAACCATACAGAAAAAAACCCCAATAGAAACATAAGGGAGCTTTGAAGTTCTTTCAGGTTTTGAATTATTTCCACATTTTATGATTTTGAGTGTGAACAAAATTGTATTATCGCACCACTTTTGTGAATTTCGCGAATACACATATCATTAACATGATAGCGGATTATAAGGAAAATAAACTCTGGTTTCTAGCTAACATTTAATGGGAAGCGTATGGATTGAATTGAACAAAGCTTCACTAATTTTTTGAGGAAGACTAATGTCATTTAACTCCGTAATTGTCATTCAAGATTTAATTTACAACATAAATAATTTTAGATGAGATATTTGAGCAAATTAAAATCAGGAATATCATTTTCATTTTTGGAATATCTTTTTTACTTTTTGGTTGAGCTGAACGAGGTTGTAACCACTCTTATCATTTTAATTTTTTTTTTTTTATCAAATATGCACATATATACATGCTGAGGATTGAATTGCTTTCTGATCAGAAGAAGAGTCAAGAACTGCTTGCATAAGTTGCAAATAGATTTTGATCTCCTAACTCTTGCTTTGTTTGTGACTGTAATAGTGTGATATATATAACGCTAAATTCTTCCTTTCAAACAGATAGTTGTCCCTTCAACTTGGAAACATTATCTACTACAGCGTGACACATAGCGTAGCTAATAACATGTCACATGTCTAATGGCTTACTATTGTAATTAATTAGCTTTTTTTTTTTCATTGAAAAGCCTAAAAGTTTGGAACTTATCTACTACTAATTTGTTGTAAAATGCAAAAGTTTTTTTAGTTCACGATCAGTTGAAAAATGGAAATCTAAATACGAGTGCGGTCAAGTTGACTAAACCACTTCAATATTAATATTAATACCGTTTTTAAATGAAAAAGATGTTATTATTGTTGACATTGTCCAGTGATAGACCTGGCAAACTCCCGAGTCCAAAGCTGTTATGATATAATTTATGACCAAAGAGTTGTTACGATGGCACCGGCTCCTCCTCTTCCTTTGTAGAAAATCTGAAACCGAAGAGCTCATGCCACGTAGATATGGATATAGGTGGAGCCTTGCTGCCGAAGGAGAGTGAAAAAGTTTGCATTGTTCTTGGTCTAAAACTTCTTTGAAATCTTCATGTAGAACTAGGTGTTGAATTCTCAGTTAGTTTCTTCTTTCCAAATACTTGATTGAAGAAATTGACTTGTCAATGTTTGAATCCGTAGCTGAATATCATCCATTCGTGTCTTCATATCATTCGCATGGTTCATGTTTTATTTCGGTGTCACAAGGAGATAAGCTAAAGAAGTGAAGTTGCCTCTTTGTGAAGATTGAAGACTACTACATCTAGTGCAACATGAAGTTGCACAAAGGTACAAGCTGCTCCACAGAATAAGTCTAGGAATTGAGTTTGTTATTGTTATCCTTGTATGAACCTTATTTCCACTACTAGACCAGACTCCATAGAGTCTCCCAATTTTTTATCTAGTTATGTATTTTCCAGGCACAAAATTGATGTGTGTATTTTGGTTCATGTTGTCTACATTTATGGTTGTGGTCAGAATACTTGCATAATGAACTGATAAGTTAATTGTCTAATCATTTCAATTAAAAAATTATGCCGAATTTAAGTTATCCGTTCCAACCCAATCTTTTATACCAAATGATAGCTATATGAATCCAAGCGAAGTGATATGCAATCTCCAAAATTTGGCCAACTTGACAAAAGAATTTTTGAATATCATGGAAAATAAGAAGAAATTTCATGGCCGTCCAATTCATTCTTGTTGACTGTGATTTTGATATGTAAATAGAAAAAGAAAAATTGTTAGGCTTCACACATATAATATGTTTTGGTACCATGAAGAAAGTTAAAGTTTCATCATAAAATCATTGGTAATCTGAGGAGTATCCCAATTACTTCTAAGCACATAAAAGTCTTTTCTCTCATCAATGTGTGATTCATTCTCAACACCTTCTTCGATAGTTTGGCATCTACTCTTTAGGCACCAAATAAACACACTACCTTCAACTCAAGAAACCATAAAACTACACGGCTCAGTTCTACCCCACCAAATCTAACAGCAAGGAAAAGACAATAAACAAAAAGGCAAAAGAAAATAAAATAAACCATAGCCCAGTAGAGACACATAAGGAGGTTTTAAATTCTTTCAGGTTTTGAATTATTTTTCCACATTTAATTTGTGAATTTGAGTGAACAAAATTGTATCATCACACAACTTTTGTGAATATTATAGTGAATTATAAGGAAAAGAAACTTTGGCTTCTAACTAGTATTCACGAGGAAACGTATGGATATTGGATTGAACAAAATTTCTGTAATTTTGTGACGAGCATGAATTTCATTTAACTCCTCTATCTTGAATAATTTATATTCAGATGAAAGTAATTTTAGGTGAGATATTTGAGAAAACTAAAAATGATCAATATCATGTTTCATTTTTGGTTAATAAGCAAGCAAGGTTTTAACCACTCTATAACCATAATTAGTCTCATATTTTTTTTATTTACCCAAATTTCTATATACTAAAATCCAGTCGGAAAAATAATGTTAACCAACAGTGTTTTGAATTTTTTGCCCCTGTTACACTGTTTCTTTTCCTTTTTATTTTTCAATTTGCACAATAAAATTACTAGAATGCCCTTTAGTCATTTGACTGTTTCATTCCTTTTCTTTTCTCCTTTTTTTCTCTCTCGACTCTTTCTCTCCTCGCGACTCCGACTAGTTTCCTTCGAATCTGAGCCTGGCATGGGTCGGGATCACCACCAAATGATTTCTATTGAACTCAGGTACATGGTAGAACAATTCCATGTGAAGTTTTATCTCGATTCAGTGTTGATTTGTTTTATCTCAATTCCATGTGGCATGTGTTGTAGGGGTTTGGCGAAGCTTTCCCAACCAAATCTTTGGATTGCAGTTGGTTATGTTTGCTTTCACCATTTCCCATTTCTTCAGCTCTATATTTTCTTTTACGTCGGCATATTTTCACTCTTTCACAATGTGATCCAATATCTCTCAATCCCACTTTAGGGTTTCGAAAATTTCAAAACTAAAATTTTCTTTTCAAATTTCAAACCCCAGCTTGGAGATCACCTAAGGCTCCGATTCAAGAAGCGTATGCTGTTGGCTGTTAAGATTCTGATTTATGACGTGTCCCAGAGCAGGTACTATTTAGGTTTTTAAAATTTATTTATTTATTTTAATTTTTTGTTTGGGTTATGGATTTCTGATATTTATGTGCATGCGCGGATCCAGAATTTTGATATAGGCTGGTTTCAATATAAAAGTTTCAAAACTAAAGAGTGTGATATTGGTGGAGAAAGGTGGTGGAGATCAGAATAATTGATAACGTTGCATGTCTTCTTGTTTCTTAAGGATTTTGACTGTGCAATCACTCACGTCGCCGACTTTGGCAATTTCGACTCTCTTGCAACCTTTTTGCATGTTCTAGGAGAACAATACTCAATTTATACAACAACTGTTAAATTTAAGTGTGCCGATTCTGTAGATTGCTATATAAATATCATGCATGTGATCAATGCAAACACAGGAATGCAACTTGTACTGTTGTATCAAGTCACGAGTTTAACATTACAGATAATTTATTCCCAAAGATCCCACTTTATTTTCCCTGTTCTTATAAACTAATATGAAAATAAATAAAAATTTACAAGTGCAGATTCGCTGTTATGCAGTATTTCTCACACAGCAACTTGAGCTGCTGCTAGCCTAGCAATAGGTACCCTGTCAAAGAATTTAGGATCAGGAATTTGATCTGGATGCAACTTTAAGTTGATAGAGGAAAGAAAAAGAGAACCTGAATGGAGAACATGAAACATAGTCTAGTCCGGCCTCTGCAAAAAAGGCAATAGAAGAAGGCTCTCCACCATGCTCTCCACATATTCCAACCTGTTCATTTATAATCACAGTGCGAAAATATCAGAAGAAGAAAAATCTTGTAACCATATGGAGCATCATCAATATTAAGTTCACACCCAAATTTGTGATAGGATGCTTAAAATCACTGCAATGCCAGTTACCTTTAAGCTAGGCCTAGCTGCACGTCCCTTTTCCGTGGCCATCTTGATGAGCTGCCCGACACCTCCTTGATCCAGTACCTGCAGTCAAGAAATCAGTTTGAATTATTTTAATGTTCCCTTATAAAACGATTCTGGTGCCATTGGAAAACCCCCTATCTGCAATTATGACTAACCTGGAATGGATCGCTTTGAAGAAGGCCTTTGGACAGGTAAACAGGTAGAAACTTGCCCACATCATCTCTGCTGTATCCAAAGGTCATCTGGGTGAGATCATTGGTCCCGAAGGAGAAGAAGTCAGCTTCTTTCGCAATCTGTAATAGTTGATAGAAGATAAATATCATATAATTTAGTAGAAAATATGAACATCATCTTCCTCCTACGGAGGGAAGTTTCAAAAAGTAAAAAATAAAAGGGAAAACATATCAATTTAGCCTTACCTCATCTGCAACAAGAGCAGCTCTAGGGATCTCAATCATGGTTCCAACCTTATAGCTCAAGGTGGTACCCATCTCGGAGAACACTTTAACTGCAACACCGTGAATGACCTTCACTTGATGTCCTAGTTCCTGAAAGACGAATATTCAATCAGGATTGAATTTGCATCTCATTTTTTTTCACAAATAAATTAAGAGAAAGAAGAAAGGGAGGAAAAAGAATTGCAGGATCATGCCTGAGGTATTCCGACAAGGGGAACCATTATCTCGGGGAAAACTTTGACACCCTGGTTGCTCATTGAGACTGCAGCCTCCAAGATTGCACGGGCCTGCATTTCAGTGAGTTCTGGGTACGATATGCCTAGCCTGTTGATTACATCATTAGAACCCTTTCATCAATAACAAAGAGATCAACTATTTGTCAACTATTTAAGCATATAACATTCATGTAGCGAAAACATGCGACACCGAGATATCAAACTTGTGCCATATTTCCTTATAACATTATTATGGATGCAAAGCGACAGGTAACTAATTTTATGGTTTTTCGCTGATTGAAGTTCATCAGTTAAAAGAGCTTTGTTAGAGAAATTTTGAGAAAATTATTTGTGAGTTTGTGCGGAGATTGAAGAGCCAGCAACCTGCAGCCACGGAAACCAAGCATCGGATTTACTTCTGATAATTTATCAACTCTTGAAAAAACTTCATCCTCAGTCATGCCAGTCTCTGCAGTTAGTTGGCCAACAATCTGTTCCATGTTACCTTCCGGAAGAAATTCATGAAGTGGAGGGTCTAACAGGCGGATTGTAACCGGAAGACCTGGAAATTCATAAAATTATGTGATAAATAAGCTACTACAACAACAAATATACAGCAAAATATTGACAAAATGATAAACAAGTAGATTTAGATCCAAGACTTCCGGATAGTTTTGTCGCAGTCAATGAGGTAAGAATAAGAAAATTTCAAATTCATAAATTAACATTTGTGAAAAATACCATCCATTGCACGGAAAATTCCTTCAAAGTCAGATCTTTGATATGGCAGTAAGAGGTCCAATGCCACCTTCCTCTGTTCAGGTGTAGCCGCCATGATCATTTTTCTTACCGCCTTTATTCTATCATCCGAAGCAAAGAACTGTAACATAAAAACAAGAGAAATATCAAAAGAGCTCCATTAACACAATATTGCAACGAAACAAGGCTACAACATTGATAGAACATTACAAATCCAGCCAAACATTTTTAGCAACGGAAAAATAGTTACCATGTGCTCTGTCCTGCAAAGTCCAATCCCTTGTGCACCGTTATTTCTTGCAGTTAGCGCGTCTTCAGGTGTGTCAGCATTCGCCATAACCTGTTTCAGCATCGCCGCAAGTTTTTATGGAGATGTTGGAAATGGGACACGTGAAAAAAAATAAGGCAAGAAAATATGGTACCTTGAGACGACGGACATTGTCAGCCCAAGACATAAAGGTTTCCAAATCGCCACTAAAAGCCGGAGGAGAAAGTGGCTGTTTTCCTAATATGACTTCACCAGTGGATCCATTGAGTGAAATCCATTCTCCTTCTTTGACCACCGTGTTCCCGATCACAACCAGCTGTTTCATCAATGAACGAAACCCAGTTATGCCATTTTCACTTTCGGTTTTACCATGGGAGATTGTTTATAAAGAGTAAACAATGGAAACAACCTTCTCAGCATCATTTACTCGGATATCAGCGCAGCCAGAAACACAACATTTGCCCCACCCACGGGCGACAACAGCTGCATGAGATGTCATGCCTCCTCTGGCTGTCAGGATCCCTGCAGCTGCATGCATACCCCCAACATCTTCGGGGCTAGTTTCAGTCCTTACCTATATATGCACAACTCAAAGTGTGTCGGAAAGAGAAAAAAGTTAACAGTGAATAAGACGAACATGGATAAAATTTTACCAAGATGACACTCTTTCCTTGTGCCTGCCATGTTTCGGCATCCTCAGCACTGAACACGACTGTCCCTACAGCTGCTCCTGGAGATGCAGGCAATCCAGTGGCGATGACTTTGTTTTTGTAAGCGGTTGGATTCTCAAACTGATCGGACAAATATATGCAGAAGAAGTCAAAAATCCTTAGTGTGTTTATTCATGGATACATTGATAACGCATATGCATGTCTGGCCTAAATACCTGTGGGTGAAGAAGTTGGTCAAGGTGCTGTGGTTCCACCATCTTGATTGCTGTGCGCTTGTCCACGAGCCCCTCATTAGCCATGTCTACAGCTATCTTAATCGCTCCCTTACCAGTACGCTTTCCAACGCGGCATTGCAACATCCACAACCTATTTTCTTGGACTGTAAACTCGATGTCCTGCAAATTTTCCCCATGCTTTATTGTCCTAAAACCATATGTTCTGATAACCGAAAAAGTGTGAATGAAATACTGAAACGAATAAAATACATGGAAATGAAAAATCTTACCATCATATCTTTGTAATGTTTTTCTAGGATTTCACAGTTCTCCACAAGCTCCTTGTAAGCTTCTGGCATGCAATTTTTCATAGCATCCACGTCTTCTGGCGTCCTGATCCCGGCAACTACATCTTCTCCCTGTTCAATTCCAATTTTGGAGCTACTCATTAAACCCTAACAAAAGAGTCTATATTGTTGTCGACTTAGAAGGAGAAGTTAGGTATAAATAGTGGTGTCAAAAACCTGAGCATTGACTAGAAACTCGCCATAAAGCTTCCTTTCACCGGTGCTTGGATTCCTAGTGAACAGAACACCTGTCCCTGAAGTATTTCCCATGTTCCCGAAAACCATGCATTGAATGTTAACCGCGGTTCCCTTCAAACCAGTTATCTGATTGATGCTCCGGTATTTAATGGCCCTTTGGCTGTCCCAAGAATCAAAAACTGCTTTAACAGCCAAAAGAAGCTGTTGTTTTGGATCTGCAGATATTCACGGGGACAAGGACATGTAAACATACAGAGTTGTGCTACGCAGAAGTGGAAAATATGAAGAAGTTTTTGGCGGTTTGATTTGTACCTGAAGGGAACTTTTTACCCGTTGTTTCGAGATAAACATTTTTGTATTGTTCTACCAGCTCTTTAAGATCAGAAGCTGTTAGCTTTGTATCAAGCTCAACTCCTTTTTTACGTTTTAGTTTTTCCAATTTCTCCTCGAATGATGAGTGTGGAATTTCCATAACCTTCAAATGCATACTTGATTAATTCAGATTGCATCTTGAAACAGAAAAGATAAGCTTGAATTTATTAAGCCAAAGTTTAGATAAAAATATCTAGTTTAGACACATAAACATTGTGAAATGCATCAATAAAACCACTTACAACATCGCCAAACATGTCCAGGAACCGTCTGTAAGAGTCATAAGCAAAGCGCTCTCCACTTTTTGCGGCCAAACCAGCAACCACCTCGTCATTGAGCCCAAGGTTGAGGACAGTGTCCATCATGCCAGGCATGGAAATCTAGGTACATAGCTCACAAATCAGTTGGTGCAAGACATAGATTAGTTATTGTTAAACAGACCGTTGTCAAAGGTGCCATTCTAAAGTACTACATAAGACATTACGGCTGTAAATAGTAATTGAAAGAACTCTTACCGCGGCACCAGAGCGAACAGAGACGAGAAGAGGCTTGGAAGGATCTCCAAGAACAGCACCAATGTCCTCCTGCACAATCTCCAAGCCCTCTAATATCTCCTCCCACAAACCTAGAGGTAAGTCTTTGCCATTGAGCTGATACTCTTGGCATGCTTCTGTTGATATAGTAAGTCCAGGCGGGACGTATAGGCCAATGCTAGCCATTTCTGCCAGGTTTGCACCTTTCCCTCCCAACTACAAGGCATAGCCATGATGAACACGGAATTCAGATTCTATGATTAAATCGAACATGTAGATCAATGGACAAGTACCAATTGAACAATTCTGTTATGTTACATAAACGTATGTCCGATTGGTATCAAATTTAAACTCCTCTTGCCAAATCGGGAAAGTGAAGTAAAACTTACCAATGACTTCATGCCTTTGTTTCCTTCACTCTTTCCTTTTCCGAAAGTAAATACTCGCTGTAGAAACAAAGGAGAAGCCTTTCAGGAACTAGAGGCACCATGAACAATATGTTTGCACGTAGTTCATAACTAGCCTAAATTGATCGTGATATAGTACCTTTTTGGTTGGTGGT